TACAAAGTATAAATAAAATGAAAAGTATAAAGTTTAGTAGTACTAGTATTTAGAGCTAATGAATATATTATGTCTAATATGCTATTATATTAAGTTCTCTAGTATGTAAAAAGAAGATAGCAATAATTATTAGGCACATAAATTCTTCTCTCATTTGATCCTCCTCAATAAGCTTAAATAGGTATTTTTATTATGAAAAATTGTAGTAAAACTAAACCTATGAAGATGCAGGACATTTTGATATAATTATTTCTGAAGTTTATTCAGCAATATATAATAGCTAACATTAGTGATAAGTACCTCTAGTATTCTATCCATACACCTTACACGTTACAAAATACAAAGTTGCAGGTCTTATTATTATAAAGCTGTCATTCAAATACGTTATATCGGCCCTTTTTTTCTTTTTGAGATCTATTGGTCTGTAATTTTATTACTTATAAAGTTCTTTTTGCGAAAAGACGGCTCTCAATTGGCATCAAGTTTAAGGTTAATATGGTACAAAGTGTGTCAATTTCAGCAAAATTTGCGCCCACTATAAAATCTCAACCACTTGGTTTGTAGCCATTTATCCAGATCTTTTACAGAGATGATTACAAAATACAGCCTTATATCAAAATATCTAGATATTATTATGACTAGTGGTTAAACATCGATTTCTATCGAAATTAATTTAATTTTTTTTAAATACACGTGAGTATAGCTTGATGTGCCGTCCTAGCAATACTGTTGTTTGGTAATAGCATCAAAAAAAATTCTTTGATGCATGCTTTGTGCCATATGTGAAGAGGGTATACTTAGCCATTAGTTTAAAGTTTAAATACTTTTTATTATTAACCACAATAAAGCTCTGAACTATCTATTGTGCTTTGCCCTCTACATATTTGCTTCATTGTTGGCTGGTGTGAAAAAATTAAAAATATATATCCCCATTTTTCACTAATTCTTTAGTTTCTATCAAGTCGTTTGGATCTTTCAACGCCCGTTTCTGGAATAAGTGGCTTGATAGGCTCTTCGGCCAGCGAACTCATCCAACTGCGACAAGCCAATCAAGAATTATCTGGAAAATTGCAGCATTTGCAGGCAATGATAGAAGAACGAGAAGATCGCCTTCGTAGTCTTGAAAAGCAGAACGCCCTTCTGGTCAGATTTTTTCAATAATCTTTTGAATAGAAATTGTTTGACCTTGTTTTTGCAACTTGGTCATATTGGTAGGAAGGCCTAGAGGAACGCACCTAGTCCGGAGTCCATTGTATGCATGATTATTTCCAGAGTCAGACCGTGGACGTGGTGCATTTCCAGACATTTTTCGGCATCGTAGGCGGCCTCTTCAGTAAGCATTTCCAGTCTTAGCACCACAATACAACTCGTCAAAGAAGCATGCGAAGCCTGTGAAGTCTGCTAAACAATCGTGGTTTCTCGCTCTCTGATACGAGGATATAGGATTGGTGATTAGCCCCGGGGGGAGAAGAGATACAACGATTGTTTAGTAGACAAATGGTTAAAGGATTGGCTTCACTTGTCTCTTTGACTAGTTGTATTATGGTGCTAAGACTGGCAATGCTTATCATCGATGCCGACTACGATACCGACGAAACGTCTTGGAATATGCCACGTCCACGGTTCGACTTAGGAAATTATCATGCGTACTATGGATACCGGACTGAGTGCGTTCCTTTATGTCTTTCACATAACGAAAGGGTACTGCGACCATACCAAAGGCCACACCATCTTGGTCTTCATAGCTTTGATTTATATTTTAAATACTTTACGAAGCCTGCAGTAATTATATTCTCTTGACTAATTTAGCTCTCCTCCCACTTTGATAGAAAGAAATCAGCCTATTATCTAATAACCACACTAGTTTGACCACCAACATCATCTTAAACGATATAGCAAAACTATTGGTAGTCTCGTAAACATACTTATGATACAAGAAGTTTAATCAACACCTTAGTTGTTATCTTGCATGTTATATGTTGTTTGGCTTAGCTAATAATTATATCCATCTTTGGTTATTTATTCCTTTGGTACGCAAAAATTCGCCGATATCACTTATCATCATATTTTGATTAGATAATAAACTTTAAAAGCTATTGAATATAAAACATTCAGCAACAAGTCATTCTCACTAAATTCTATATTGATGGGTTGAATTTATGATTAATTTAAACTATGTTTGTCGCCAAATACTTATGCTTCTTAAAGCTAAAGATATAATTAAAGTTTTACAAATTACCCTTCTTTATATCATTATTCCTTTTAACATGACATTTATTTGTGGGATCACAAAAAATACTATATTTTTATTAAATTGCTAGCAATAATTAATGTTTTAATGACAATTATTTTAGTAAATATGTTGCAACTTGCTGTATTATAGTATGAATGAAATGGCTTGGTTTTAATCTTTTCAGACGACTGATGCATCTCTATCGAGTGAGGTTGACCGACTGTTAAAGGAACTAGAAAATATTAGAACAGAAAGAGATGCCAATGTAAGTAGTGTCGTTTTGATTAATTAGTATTGTTCATATTTTATTGCATATTAGACCAATTTTTCTTTGAATTATACCTAACATTTCATACTCAGCACCTGATTTGGATTATTTTCAGAGGAAAAAGATATGTTTGGATGAAGATCTATCAGAAAGTTTGCATTTGCTTGTGAGCTGCATTATATGCAGCCAACTTTGATAAAATGTATGCCTTATTTATACTTTATCCTTCAGCAATCAGTGCAGTTTAGTGTGAGTTATATTTTGTTCAACTCATATTATTATTAAGCATGACGCTGATGGTGGCAACTAAGAGTCTTTAAGAGCTAGCGGTTTTATTCGAAAATAAAAAGTAACTATAATCTAAACTGACAGTCCAAATAGTATATTTTTCTAAAAGTTATTGTATATAAGAGGAAGTCGTTTTAATTACACCAAAGCTGCAAAGAAAATTTATCAGAAATATAGTAATATTGTCTTTTGATTTGTGAATGCTTTTACATGTAACATTGTGTATTTTATTTTACATATTTTAAAGCATGAAGTAAGTTTGGCAATCCTTAGGCAGATCTTTTGTAGTTATATTTATTTTTGGTTCCAGAAAATGATCTACACAAATGAAATTGACAATCTAAAACGCGAAAAACTGGATATCAACAACAATCTTGTTCAGACTCAAGCTACATTGGTTGAGAGAACAAACAAAGTTCAATTTCTCGAAACTGAACAAGCAAGTTTCTTTCTCTCAGACTTAGCAGTACAACCAGAGTGTTTAAATCTTGAATCATAATATCAGATAATGAGCATTGTCTCTATCCATTTGGATCAAATTCAGATAGCATTGTTTAGAAAGGTTTCGGAGAGCTTAGATGAGAAAGTTAGCTAATGAAAATTATTAATTGCACCGCTAAAAATTATTGATAGCCATATAAATGTGATGGGACCAGGTTCTTAACTCATATAGCAAAATAGGTTTTAGGAGAGTTGCTTTCAGCTTCTAAGAATCTGAAAACTCACTTTTACTACTAGGCTATTTTCAATATACTTATAGTTTTTGCATCACTTAAGGAACTTTTAGTAATGTATATATTTCTAATTATCTACTTATTATTTAGCACTAAATATATGAATGTTATTATTATATAAATATCCATAATTAATACAGTTTAGGGATTCAAGTGCTTATATATTAAATTGTAAAACTTTTGCCTTTCAAAAATATACAAAATTCAAATCAAGATTGCACAACTATAAATGGGTGAAAAGAATATATATTTTGGGATTTCTTTGAAATGTTTGAAATTAATTTACTAAATTAAAATAACACAAACTATAAATCACTTAAAAGAATGTTAGCAATAGAGAGAAATAATGAGACAAACTGTGTAAAAGAGGCTATGGCTAAAGCCAAGCGTACGATAAACTCTTTCATCTTTGACGTTAATACAACCACATTAAGGCTTAGCTATTGTAAAAGAAGCCTGGAAGTTGCTTTCTCATTAGGGAGAACTACGAGGTCATCTAGACTTACCAATTATATAATATAGCTATGAAATTTATGTTCTATTTTGCATCTAAATATACTGTGTGACCTCGTATTTTTTTCCGAATATGGTATTGAAAAAAATCTGTGCTCGACTATATTCTACAATTTAGGGTTGTCTAGTCTAAGCCGAGAAGGAAAGACTGCCTGGCTAAGTAGTTTGCAGACAGCAGGAATAGTTATAGGTTAGTATGGAGAGAAAACAAAGACGTCGGTGTGTAATGTCGGGGTGCAATAGAGATTTCGCAAGGGTTGGAAAGAAGGATACTACATCAAAAACGAGATTTGCAAGAAAAGCTGTCGGTTAGTAGTGCATCAGTACGTCATTTAAAACGCCCACAATGTTTTCTGTTTATAATACCCTTGTGTAATCGGAATGCCATCTAGTTGAGTAAAAGGTAGGATTTATGCGATAGCTAGCATTTTATCGGCTGAACCAACGCAAGGAGAGAACATAATTGGCATTCTCAAGTGTTCTGTGTTAAGTGAATGTTGGGAGTAAACTGCTTAAGAGATGCAATAAGACTAACAGTTATAATACAAAAGAGTAGGGATAGGTTACTAAAGCTTTAGAGAGCAAATATATATAAACAACTTCTAAAAGATTGTGGCATGACTTCTCTGGCTATGCGACTGTATAAAACCTTAAAATAGACAAGAAAGAATTTAATCATAGATTTATCCAAGGCAAAGTCTGAAGCCTAAAACAGGACCTAAAACATGTCCGTGATTAGCAATTCTGCTTTTAAAACTGATGGTTTTCCCTAGCTAGAAGTCCCTGTCTATTATTTACCTATTGTATACGTTTTGTATCCGTATTTCTCGGGACAATAGGCATCCTTTCTAGAGTTTCGCAATTTCGTTATCAGGCCAATTATTAAATCTTGTAGGCAAATAGATAAAAGTCTTAAAACTTGACAGAGCTAGCCAAATAAATATCGATTTGATGATATATTACTTTGACATTTACAATATTTCTATCTAGGCTTCCTCCAACCGATTTGTCATTTTTATGAAAAGTATGAAGAGCTTTGAACTTCCAAAAAGATTTATTTATTTATCTTTCTACTTTTGTTTCCATCATATTTTCAACCCATTAATTCCATAATAAGATTTCGCCTGCGATAAAAATCTTAAAAATTCTCAGGTGGTAAAGAGATTTCTGATAATAAAGCATGATGAATATAAAGGAATAACGATGCCAAAATGACACGTATTATTATATCCTAGTATGCTAGCTCTGCTATTGGCCCAGAAAATTGCTTATATCAAGTAAAATAATTTATGGAAATTGCAGCAGGTTATCAGGTTAGGTTTCGTACAATTTTATCGATAATTTTTAGTCTAAATATAAAACATAAAACT